TTAGAACAACAACAAAGCCAAACTCCAAACAAATGCCAGAAGAACTCCTACAGATGCCGAAGCAAATGCTAGAACATTCCCCCAAACATCTGACGGAACGTTCGCACATTGTCGCAATTCTTTCGCACAGTTGCTGGGTTATTCCCCCGCACATTAGCCGGAACATTCCCCCACATAAACAGATGAAGAACTCCAAACACTGCCAGAAGAATATCATACATTGCCGTTAGAACTCCAACAAAGCCGGACTCCAAACAAATGCCAGAAGAACTCCTACAGATGCCGAAGCAAATGCTAGAACATTCCCCCGAACATATGACGGAACGTTCGCACATTGTCGCAATTCTTTCGCACAGATGCATGGTATTCCCCCGCACATTGCCGGAACATTCCTCCGCGCAACTAAAACCCACGCAACACGCCTAAAGGACGCACGCAAAATGCCAAAGGGGACTTGTGCTTTTGATGTTGGAGAAGAGAGCTCCACATCCGCCTCTACTGCTAAAAATATGATTTCATTTCAAAGTTAAAGGAAACTGAAACTAACGTTTTGAGACAAAACCAGATTGATGAAGTCCAGATGCAGCAGCTTCTTTGGTTGCAAAGCATACAAAGCACTGAATGAAAAAAATAAAGAATGTTGTTGGATTAAAACACAGCAAGCTTTGTCCGCAAAATGGAAAGAGAGGGGGAGGAGTGAAGGGCAACTGAAATTGCCCCAAATACAAGCCAATTGTGTTTGAAGAGACCACCATCATCATCGGCCATCTAACAGTACTAAAAAAGAAAAATAAATAGGAGGCGAATTAATTAGTTAAATAAAAATTTAGGGAATTTTTCACCCGTAGCGTAACTGGCAGAGCGTTAGGCTCACTAGTTAAGAAAGTGGGCGAACTCCAACGGAAAAACAAAGCAATAATCGAAAATTTTTCTCGTACCCGAGAGAGAGGGAGAGCTTTAAGCACTAGATATGCCTTTTAAAATTTCAGTTAAGTGCGTGTCCCTGCTAACTTGCAAAGACATAAGGGTAAAAAATCCCCAATATAATCTAACCGAATTTTAAAAAACTAACTTGTTCAACCTCAATAATTCCTGCTTCCTTCAAGACATTTCCCATATTTTCCATTGTTGTTTTAATGGAGAAATGAATGATTCATTGGGCGTTGAAATAAAAACTTTGTTTGTTGATGAAGAACTTGTTGTTGTTGAAGAATTTTGATGAAATAATTCTTCATCAATTTTTGAATTGCTTGTTGACTAAAAAATTGTTTTTAGAATAAATTGTGATATTCATTTTTGGACTTTGTCCACAAAATGTTTTTCAAAAAATGTGTAAACAAAAAGGTTAATGAATGAACAAGAGCCACAAACACACCAATAACCTTTTTCTATACTAAAAGCAAGAAAGAAAACTAACGTCTCTCATGTTTTCTGATTATCCCTCTTCTATTATTGATTTTCTTCTCTGACCATTGCCTAGACAACAAAATCGAGTACTGGTCAGAGAAGTCATATTTATTTTTTCCAGCGGTAAAGCGAGGAAAAATAAAAATTTGACTTCTCTAACCAATTCACGATTTTGCTTGTCTTAGCAATGGTCAGAGAATAAAATCAATAATTGAAGAGAGAGACTGCAATAACAAGAGAAGATGGACGGTTAGTATAGTTCTCTCAGTTTCTTAAACGTGATTGGGACAGTTGAGTCTTGTGTTTAAGTTCTGATCGAAGTCGAATACGGTTGCTTCGAACTCTTCTTCAATTTCCTTATAATTCAAAAACTTTCAAAATTACCTTCATTTTGTTGTTGGTGGTTGTTCTCTTCTTCCTTCAATTTTTCTTCATCTTCCTCATCATCTCCAATTTCTTCTTCATTTTTGTCGTCTTCATCAAATTCTTCTTCGTCTTCAGAATCGTTTCTACAAAAATTTAAAAATAAAGTTTTACATATTTGGAAAAATGTGTTAGAGGAGAGAGGGTTACCCCGTAAATTTAGCCACAACTTTTTTTCTAGTAACAGTAACATTAAAAAAGAATAGATGGAAGGCTCAACTAATTTCCACTAAATTATGATCATTCTTTTTAGATTAACCCCTCAAGTAACTTAAAACCTCAAGCGTTTCAAGACAAAACTTGCGGACAGTCCTTAAAATTCCATCAGAATCTACCCAAAAAATCAACAAAAAATTAAAAAACTAACCATTTTTGCTCTTCTCTTCACAGGAGATGCAAATTCTTCGTCTTTTAATTCATTCGGCTTCAAAGTTAATTTTCTGCGTTTTAAGGGTGTTGATTTATTGTTGGTGTTGAACATTTTTTATTTAAATATTCTTCTTTGATTTATCTAAAAATTAAAAAAACTATTATTATAACTTAAAATCAAAAAATTATGTAAAAAATTGGTAATAGTTCGGTATATTTGAACTTTTAAAAAATTACAAAACACACTTAAACTCGAAAGGGATCGAACCTCGATACTACTGCCCTCAAAACCTAGAACACTAACCACTATACCACAAGCGAGCTTACTCTACATACTACTTATAGCTAGTAAGAATTAAAGAAAACACTAAAAATATCAACAACGGATAAGACCAAAGAATAAGAGACAACCCAAAGACCAACCTCAAAACTAAAACATCCGATACAAAAAAAAAAAATAAAAACGAACCTCCACACGCCACAACAATAAATATATCCAGTAGTCAATAAGGGGAGGAATTTAGAATTTTATTTTTGTAGAGTTGATCTCCTGGAAAAAGAAATTAATAAATTATTCCTCAATAAAAACAAAAATATAAATAAATCTATTTTTAAATAAATATTCAAAAAAGAAATGATTTAAAATTTTAAAAAATGTATAGAATAATTTTAAAAAATTTTATCGAGGTATACATAAAAGGTACATTAAAAACGCTTTGAAACGCTCATTTTTAAAATTCAAAAAATGTCAAAAATAATATTTTTAAATTTAATTTTAATAATTCTTTTAAATTCAATTTCTTGCACTTTTTGTATGGATACAAGTCCTCCACGTAATTTCCGTGCAGCCACTTGTCACCATTATAAATCTGAGGAAGATTGCCTAACCCCTCGGATTGTTGGCCAAAAATCTTCTGGAAGTTGGTGCCAATGGACGACCTTGTATGGATATCAGAGTTGTGAATGGTCCCCAGAAAGTATTACAACACATTTTTGCAGACCATCCAATTATTGCGGAGTAAATAAATTGGAACTTAAGATTAAAAAGAGGAGATCGGCCTAGATTTGGATTTTTCTGGATCCAGAGCCCTTTTCTGGATCTGGATTCAGCCCTTGATCCAGAGTAACGATCAAGGATTTTATAAATGTTTTTTGATTTTCATTGACCTTAATTTTCCCTTAACCTTGATTATTCCATGGCTTAAGGTCAAGAATATTGTCAAGGTCCTCCCTCAACCACAACCAAAAACCAAGGTCCAGGTTTTTTTAAATTTCCGATCTTAAATTCTTTTAATTTTCCTCAAAATTTTCAGGGTCCTTTTTGTTATCTCTACGACGTATAATTTAAAATTTTATTTACCGTCTCTAACAATAAATTTAAAATTTTTAAGGGTAAATGTATAAGTGCTCCTTTAAGTTGCTTGTCACGCGTAACTCACACAAGCTGTGAAAAATCGGTGGTATTAAACGGGAAATATTGTCGATGGTATAATGTAAGTTTGTGTGTGAATCTAAAACTTACCTAAAAATTTTTTAAAGAAAGGGGAAACACATGACAATATTGGTTTTTCAATTTGTGGAGTTTAAAAAATTGAAATTGTTGTTTTGATGATTTTTCATTCCAAAAAGGAGAAGAGATGCTTTACAATTTTTTTACATTCTATGGGAAGTTTAAAAATTTTTATAAGATAAAAATTTCAATTATTTAAATTAAATATAGTACACTTTTTAAAAAATATTTACATAAGTAAAATGAAGGATTTTAAATGCTTTAATTTAAAAATCCTTCCTTATCATCAATAAGAAATTTATTTTTTTAAAGCATTTAAATTTAAAAAATAAAATTAAGTCGTCTATTTATATAAATGGATTTTTAAGGCTTATAATTTGACCTTACAAAATAAAAAATAGGGATATTCTACCAAGGATATTGCAACCCAAAATTAAGTAGATAAACAACCTGGTACACTTTAAAGTGCAAATTTAAGTAGAAAAGCAGGATAACGAAAATAAAAGAAAAGCAATATCCGTGATATAATCTCCCTCGTTTAGGCAAAGATAAAAGCATTTTTAAACTTAAAATTAAGAGGGGAAGGGGAAAAATTGTGGAAAATTGTGAGAGAAAATATTTTCTTAAGACAGTTTTTAATGATTTTTAAGTGAATAAAAAGCGAAAAAAGAATAATAATAAAAAATCGTAAATTTAACAATAAAAAGCATGTGTTTTAAATATGATTTGCTTATATTGAAAAAGATACAATTTTAGTCAAGATATGTATAGTTCTGGTATTTTGGTGTTTATAAATTTAAAAAATGATAGGGACAAGGCAGGATGAAGGGATGACAAGGCGCAATAAATAAATAATCTAAGGAACTAAAATTTAAAAAAGTATGGTTAAAAATAGCAGAGAAAAATAAAAAAAGAAAGGAATAAAATAAGTGACCAAAAAACGTTTTTCAGATAAAAAATTTCCTGGAAAAGTTAAAAGGAATTTTTTAAAAAAAGAAACAAAACAACATTCTTTTAGAGGCCACTCTGGTACACTTATTAAATAAAAATGTAAGAAATTTTAAAAAATATAAAAAGCTTAAAAGTTTTTCAAAAGATATATTTGATTCTACTAAATAATCTAAAAAATAAAAGTCAAGTCTCTCTCCAAGGTTATCCCACACTTAAGAGCGAAAAACTAAGGAAAAAAGAGTAGACTGACAAGAAGAGACTCCACTAAATTTTTCAGATATTTCTACCCTCTACATATACTTACAAATCTAGAAAATTTTTTTTAAATAAAACCTTTTCCTCAGTGTAAAATGCTAAGTTCACCGTCACTAGGTGGACATTCATTTTGAGAAATAGATGATGTCTGAACATAAACAGGTCCACCCTGACAAGGAGTTAGTCCAGTTTGTTGCGCCCCTAATACACTATATGATTGACCTAAAAATATAAAATTTAAAGAAAAAAATTCAAAAAAAATAAACCAGTCCCCAAAAATGATGATGGAGTGAACTCAAAACTTCCAAATCCTCCTTGACTTTGAAAATTTCCTTCAACTTGAACACCTTTTGATGGTGTAATAGCAATATAACCCTCTTTATGAAGAAAATCAGCTTTTCCTCTTAAATTTAAAGTTGTCGGCCGATTATTATCATTTAAAGATGCTTCATATGGAGAAATCTGAAAAAAATTTAAAAAAATAAAATCAAAAAATTGGTAATCTTGATTACTGGGCACTAAAAAAATCGCAGTAAGTGTTCTTCAATATTAAAGTTTGCCAGTAGGTAATAATAATGTGCCGAGAGTTAAGTGTGGAGAATTTCTCATTTCGAACTCTGGACCCGAATTTAACCTGATCAAATTTAAACCTATATCCGGATCTCACACACTCGGTCAGGTATCCTCTACTCCGCACATTCGATTATCTACAAGTAAAACCTCAAAAATATCAAAGAGAACTCCCTGGTCATTTTTTGTAGGGAAAACTAAAGTACGAGGTCACCCAAAAATTAAATAAAATATAAACCCTTCTGTTATCAGCATTTTCATGATCCTCAAGTCCACCCAAAAGAGGTGATGGTTCAACCTTAGCTCGTTTAATACGTCCAAACAGAGGAGGATTTTGAGAATAATTAGATGTTGGTGTCTCCATTAAAGCTGATTCTGATATTACTTAAAAAAATTTTTTTAATAAAAATATTTTCCAAAGAAAATAAACCTGGATCTGTTCCATTAACCAAAACAGAACAACATCCTCCTCTAGAATCATTCCTGATCCCTCTGTGGTCATAAGAAGACAAATTTGGAGGTGGTGTTGCAGGTGATATTTCTGTAGATTCTGTTGTATCTGCCGCTATAGCAGATGAAGAGGAGGAAGAGGAATGTTGGCAAGACGTATTATTCATTGCTGTAAGAGAAAAACATTGATTAGGATGTTGTTGTTGTTGGGGATGAATTTTAGTACGTTCAAGTTGGGGAATTAAAATACCAATACCACCGCCACTGGGAACTGAAAAACTATTTAAGATAAATCGCATATAGAAAAAAGTAAAGATTGAGATTTTAAAAACATTTAAGTGAAGACCTTGACCAGATTCTTGATCTTGAGTAAAGAAAAAATCCGTCAGGAAAAAACAAAACTCTGAAAAATAACTTGACCTTGACCCTTGATCGAGGAAAGATCAACTTCTGGATCCAGATCAAGTTCGATCTCTAGAAAAAAGGGAACTTCTTGGGAAAACACTAGGCAGAATCCCAGGAAGTACCAATCCCAAGTAACCCACCTAAAAATTCCTTAATAAAAAAATCCAACCTCTCGGATTATCATTTTGTCGATGATGTAAAGCCATAGTATTTAACGGGAATGTTAACAATCCTTGCTCATTTTCAAATTTTTGAGGTTCAAATTTTAAAGAAGGCTCGCCGCAAACCATAGAAGATTCTTCTCTTTTTGAAAGAATTCCAAGTAGACGATTTTGTTCATCTCGTAATTTTCTTATTAAATTGTCCTTTTCATCGTTTGCCGCTTGTAAAAGTTGTACTTGCTTAAAAAATATAAATTTTGTCAAAAAATTCTAAAAAAATCCAACCCCTTCCAAACTTGACATTCTTTCTTCACGTCTACGTCTACAACGAGCAGCTGCTTCCTTATTCCTTTCACGCCTTCTTTCGCGACGGCCTTTATCTTCGTCATTCAAATTTTCCTCTTCTCGTTCTCGCGGCCTTCTACCACCTCGTCTTGGTTGTCCTCGTGGCATTGCTGAGACTGTTGCTGTTGGTGGTGTCGATTTACTAACTACACTTAAAGGTGGAACAAACACTGAAGAGGCTGAAAATGGGCAAATATTGAAACAAGGAAGTTAAAAATAATACGAGTAAAAACTTGCCTGATGTAGAAATCGAAGTCTTTTCCTGTTTTACCCCACCACTATTTGTAGTTGATTTATTGCTTGAAGAATTGCTGCTAATTGCTGCTGCTTCCGCAAATTGTTCAGCTAACCACAATTGATGTTGTTGATGTTGAATAGAATTATCTAATAAAATAGAAGAATTTGAATCAAGTTGCTGTTGTGTAGTACAAAAATCAAAGGGAGGTGTAAATAAATGTTGTGCAGCTGTAGCGACAGTAGGTGAATGAAATAATAAATTAGTGTTGTTTTGTTGTTCAACGGCGGTGCTGTAGCCGATCTTAAAATTAAAAAAAAGTTAAAAATTCTAGGGGAAAATACCAAAAATAAATACAAGACTAAAGGAAAATAAAAAAATAAAATTGAAAGCCGAGAGAAGTGGAAAAAAAACAACTGGTAGAATAAATTAAAAAAACGAGGAGAAAAATAAATAAATAACAAAAAATACGTCTCGGCCAATTTATTCCCCGTAATAAATTTTACCAGTTTGTCTATTCCCTAACATTGTTTATATGTACTCGAACACGCTGCTGTTTCTAATAAAACACATCTCCCCCAACAACAAAAAAAAGGCCAAGGGATAGTCTTCTACTGCTGTGCACCTCTTTCGCAATTTATTGGTTGATAAGGGGGGAAACGACCAACCAAAGTGAAAAAAAAGAATAAAAAAGTTAGAAAAGGGGAGAGCAGCCGCGATCGATTTGATTGAATTTGAGAGAGGAGAGAGAATTGTTGAGATGAAAAAAAAGAAAATCTACTTAATGAAAACTTTTAAAATTAAAATTTTGTTTTTGTAAAATAAAAGTAGTATAACGTAGGTAATAGAAAGACAAAAAAATACAGACGTAGAACGGCAGTTTCTTCAAATTTTGTAAAATCTTTTTTAAATTGAATTTGTATAAAACAAATTTGGTGAAACGAAAAATTACTTCTCCTTTGCAATTAGAAAATAGAAGCGAACGCTCCACAGAAGTTAAAGAAATGAAAAGAAGAGAGAATACAGGCAGGGGTAAAAAGAAAAAAAGTTAAACAAAAAGAAAATACGAAAAGTAAAAAAGGGAAAAATATACGAAAAATCTAAAACCCAAAGACAAAACATCAACATTGGCACTCGGACAAATAGCCAGGTGACAAATCGTCAGTGAGTGCAAAACCGAACAATTTGACAATAATTAAAGGACAAATCATCAGTTAAAACAGACACGGACAAATGGTCTAAATGCAGACACGGACAAATGGTCCAAACAACAAATCGTCAGTAAGTACAGCACCGGACGATTTGCCAATATCTCAGGATTCAACCATATTTAAGAAATTCCCTACCAGATCGCTGCTACCAGCACCAAAAAGCGGATACCAATTGCAAAGAAAGGCATCAAATGGTGTTGAGTTAGCTGCAGCCGCCATTGACGAAACTGTGGCATAAGTTGGAGGAGGTTGTGAACTACAAAAGGAGAGAAATTTAAAAAAATATTTTTAAAATATCCACCCAATCATTGCTGAAGTTCCAATTCCAAATTGTTGAGTTGGCGTATTTGGATCAGATGGTTGTGATCCATCGTATGGTGAATACAGAGAAGGGGTGATGCTCTAAAACCAAATTTTTAGTATCAAAAATTGCCAATAAATAGTATGAGAAAATCACGTGAAATTGTGCCGATTGTGGATTTCTAAAAGCATAAGCTGCTGCAGCAACCAACGGAAATTGTTCAGATAATGAGCCGACTGAATAATTCTGTTGTTGCAATTTATTTTCGTCAACTGGTGAATTTTGATGTTGTTCATCTTGATTATTTTGATGATCAAAAATTGCACCATAATTGGCTGATATTGCAGCTAAACCAGCAGAAATTCCAGGCAGGTCTGTTGGACGAGGTCTTGAATAAAAAATTAAATTTTACTGACATACAGTCAAAGACCTATTAAATAAAATAGGAGGGGTTGGTGGTGAACATGTTGTTGTTGAATTTGAATGTTTCGTGTTGTTTTTGCCTCGAAATGTTCGGTCATTATTATCATTTGAAGGGTCCATAGGCGGAGTTAATTCATAAAGTTGACTCCTCGCCGTTTTTTCTTGGTGTTGTTGATTTACCTCCATTCAAACCCAATTTTTTTATAAACGAAAAAAATTTTTTAAATGCCCCCTTCAATATTTTTTTCCTTCAGAGGAAAATATATTTAGTATTGGTCATCATTGAATCAGCTGGAAAAGAACGGTCAGCAAAAAATGATTCAGTTATGAATTTAACTTTTTTTAACTTTTTTTATTGTTCACTATGCTTAACAACTAAAAAAACTTTTTTATAAATAATTCATTTAATAAATGAATATATTCATTATTTAAAAAACGATGGGTTAAAAAACAGAGGTTTGAATAGCATTAAAAAAATAAAAGGGTATGTGATGATGATGTTGTTGGTGTCTCTGGATGGGGTTATTTGGCCAGGATAGATAGCAAAAAAAAATATGGGAGAGGCAAAAAAAGTTGTCGTCCCGCAACAGCAAGAAACAAACAAACGGCTTTTTTGGACCACCAATCGTAGAGAGAAGCAAATGTGAAGCAAAAAGAATTTTTGTGTGGGAGAGAATGTTTTAAAGGGAGGTAAAGGATTGAGGAAAAATCTACAAATCAAACACAGTTTCCTTTAAAAAATTTTTTTTGAAATGTTTATGTGCAAAGATTTTCTTTCTTTTTTACCCTCTCCTCTACCTCTCCGCCGTTTTCTTTTTTCCTTTTTAAACCTTTATATTTAAGCGGAAGACACAGTATGCTTTATATATTCAGCCCTTCCCCCCACACACAAAACCAAACACAAAATTCCTTTTTTACAAAATAATTTTAACGGCTTCATGCACTCTTTGGTGCTTTTTCTTTAAAATTTTTTTATTGCATTCCACCTTTAAATTTACTCTTTTTTCGTAGTTTATAAAATTACAGTAAAATCTTCAGACTATAATAAACCAGCCGTTTTAATAGAAAGGGTCAAAAACACAATCTGTATAAGTGGATCTTAATTGAGCTTAAACTAGGTTAGAGTTGTCGGACCAGCCGCTCCCTTGGTTTAGTGGGTAACACGCCTGACTAGTACTTTCAAGTGACCCAGGTTCGAGGCCTAATCAAGCATTTAAGGGAAACCTTTAATTCTATTTTTAAACTTCAAATATAATTTTTTCACCATCTCAACTTTGTCCTATTATTATTTAAATTTTTAAAAATTCAAAATTAAACTTAAAAAAGAAAGATTTTTGCGTTCTTTCTTTTTAATTTCAAAAATTGCATAAAAATCAAAAAATTTAAAATATCAACAAAGCCCCAAATAAGGAAAAAATACAATGGAAAATGTCAAAAAAAGACAGAAGCAAAAAGAAGAAGCTGACATTTGGATTTATTATAAAACATTTTGTACGCAATTTTTTATTCTTCTTTCTATTGCCCCACCCCCATACCCCCCCCCCTTCCCCATCTACCAACCACAATTTATAACATTTAAACCACCCAATTGTGATTCAGAGGTTACAAGGGGGAAATAAGGACAGAAAAAAGAAGCAGTCTTTCTTTCTCTTCCTTTTTTCTATATTTTTTAAACCAAAACTGATTTTTTAGTGACAGACTGACATTTCCCGCAAATCATTTTTTAGAGAAAAAAGGAGAGAAAAATTAAATTACTTAATATATTCTCTCTACAAAAATCTAAAAAAAATATCCACAAAAAATTAATTAATACTACTAGAACACCCACGCAAAATTCACAGCTTTTTCTAATAATCATAAAACGCGCATATTAATTAGTTTTGATAGTATGGTCGATAAAATTATTAAAAAAATATTAACCAAAAATTAAAAAATGAATTATTCAGAAGGGGGAGGGGAGGAAGAAGAACGGAAGTCATAGAGGGACCCGTCTGGCTTTTGAGGTTTGGAAGGTTTGCTGGAATCCAGGCTAGAGATTCAGGTCTTGTCAATTAATAAAACACTGAATCCAAGCCTTAGATTTTTTATTAAAAAATTTCCGGATTTTCAAAAAGTATATAGAGAATGAGAAGCAACTTTTTAGGCAATCTCTCTAACCTATTAAAAATTAAAAAATTCCCAATAAAAAATTTCTTAATTAAAAATCCCGCAAAAAAACTTATTTTTCTGGTCACTAAACCTACTATATAATATCATCATTAAAATATCATAATTTTCGGAAATGATTCATTCTCAAACAAAAATTTTTTTACAACATTTTAAGAATAAAAAGGAAAAACCGCGACACACTTCTTTCTCCCCTCACTCCACCCTATGAATCCTTATAAATATTTACTCAAATATTTGCCTAGGATTTTGTACATTGATGCGGATTTATAAGCTTTTTAAATGAGCGGCCAAACCCTTCTTAATATTTTCTCTTTTTTCTCCCTAAAAATTCTTGGATGTTCTCCTTTTTTAAATACCCCGCTTTAAACTCTTAGAAAGTCGTAAAAATATTTTTATATCTTTTTTAATAGCATATTTGGAAATATTAAAATATTTTGGCAATTAAAATTAGTCTTATAAAATAAAGAACAAAAAGGACCAGGTTCTCACTACAAAAATTTTTTGGAAGGGAGAATGGCAAGAAAAATTTCACTCTTGGTGTAGTGGTTAACGCTCCCGACTTGCCTTAACAAGTGAGCCGGGTTCGTACCCGGCGGTGGACAAAAGGTGTTTTAGTGTATTCCTAGAGGATTGAGACCTGTTCCTTTGAGTTTTAAAAAAAGTTAAAAAATTTTATAGTGAAGTTAACCCCTGTTAAAAGAATACAATTTTAGCCCCTAAAGGAGTCAACTAAAAATTTTCAAAAAATTTTTAAAAATATTTTTTTTTAAAATCTCAATCCTCTATTATTATTAATTGTTGTTAAATTATTATTAAATTGCCTGTCTTTATCCAAATCCAAAATTGAAGCATCTTTAAATTTTTGCTGTTGTTGTTGTTTTTGTTGTTCAAATTGTGGAAGAGGAAATGTTTTTTGTTTTCTTTTCCATAACAAAATATTTTCAAATTTATGCCTTCTTTTATTATGTCCAATTAAAATACAATTATTATTATTTTCTTCATTTTTATTTTTTAATTGTTTTGTTAAATAATTCCAAATTAATGCCAAAAGTAAAATTAAAAGGCAAAACAAAAATAATAAAATTGAACCAAAAGGAATATTAGAAGCTAATAAAGATGAACTAGTTGAAGATCGACAATGTTTTGATGATGTAGGCAATGAATTATTTAACAAACGAAGAATCATTGGTTGATTTGCTGGAGAAAATTTAAATTTTTATATAAGAAAATTTTTTCCGGACAAAATTGTGAACCTTTTGAAAGTAAAATAGATAATACTGGGATAGTTCTAATTAACTGGGCCATATTTTAACTATTCTGGTAGACAATACGACCCAAAACTGATCCGTGTTACAAGACAGAAAGACTTACAGGTGCCGAAAATTACAACCCCCAAATACCGATTTGAATTTTAGTTATGGAATTAAGGCTGTATCTCCATAATAGGCTCCTATTATTAGGCTCTAAACCACCACAGACGGCGGCTCATTTTATAAATAAGTTTAATAAAAATTTTAAAAAATAACCTAAAGAATGTTCATCAAGTTCAATAACAAGTAAAGATTGTTCAGGCAAATCAAAATCGGCTACTTTTCTTGGAAGACGACGGTCAATTTCTACTTCTTAAATTTAAATTAAAAATAAATTTTATTCAAGAAAAAAACCTTGATTGTTGGTTGTAGGCGTGTCTCTTCGTATTGGTGAGTTTACCTAAAAGAATTGAAAATTAAAAAAAGTTATTTTTAAGAAATACTTCATCTTGGTAAATAGCATCTTGTTGCATCAAATCAACTAAAGATAAAGTTTCACTCGGTTCTAATATACTCTCTTCTGTTGTTGATGAAACTTCTGTTGCTGAAAAACAAAGAAGAATGAAATTTTTAAGAAAAGATTTTTTCAACTAATTTTAAAGTTGCGGACAAAAAAATTTTCAAAGAAAATAAAAAGAAACTTGTCCGCAAGCGTCGATTCTCAAAAATAAAAATATTTACCATAATTACTAGGCACAACTTCAGTTTGAGGAAATTTCATCCTTTCTTCAGATATTTTATTGTTGTCCACAATTGTTGCAGTTGTAGCTGTTCTTCTCCTCCAATCCTCGTTGATACGATAATGTGCTGGAGGTAATTCTTTTTCTCTAATAATTTGTGGTGTTTTTGTTGTTGAAGATGATGGGGTTTTTGTTGTTTCTGTTGTTTTTGAAGGCAAATTAATTTTTGAATTTTCTTCATTTACTTCTTGTACTTCATTGTTGCCGGAATCATATTGAAGACCATATTTTGACAAAATTTTTGTTGTTGTTTCCAATTGTTGAAATTGTTGAGTGTATTGATATGTTGATGCTGGAGAACATTTTGGTCTCTAAAAATATTTTAATTTTTACTAAAAAAATGAAAATTTTACATTAGGTTCACATCCATTGTTGGACCATTCCTCCCTCAATGTCAACTCAATTTGGCAATTAAAATGTAATGTTGGTTTGTCAGCAAATTTAAAAACAAAAGCGGACTGGCCAGCAGTCAAATCATCAGTGTATTCTTTTTTAAATTTTTATTTTAAATTAAATTTCAAAAAATCCCAACCTAAATCCCGTAACAAAAGTGCATCCACTCCACATCCTTTTTTGTCAATCACTTCAACAGGCTCTCCCCCTTGACCATCAGAAACGGCGCAGCTGTGGACACGCATGCAATAAGTACCAATTTCTGGTGTTTGACAGCTCCAACGATGAAAAACCTTTTTTTAGAAATTTATTAAAAAAAGTAAACTTTAAAGAAACTCACAACATCACCAATACGCGCAAAACGAATAGATTGCCCTCTAGCATTTTGCCAAAGAATATCATATCTTTAAAAAATTTTAGTTAAAAAATGGTTTGTAAACGTCAAAAAACCTGCACTGTGGCATAGCCTCACTCTTTCGGAAAATGTTCCCTGAAGTAGTTAATTGACCAACCTCCAAATGTTGTGTAAATGTTTTGCGCGTTTCAGTGTAAAAACAATTGAGGCGATAAGCACGGTCAAGTTTAGTAACAAAAATCTTTAAAAAGAAGCGTTAAACTAAAGTTTTGAAATCTTTTTAGGTATGTACGGGCTATCAGAAACCCGAACTTTTTTCAACCCGAAACCCGACCCGAGAAATAAAAAAATTTAAAAAACCGTACTGGATGAAAAGAAACAATTACAATTGTTTGCACACTAATTCCATTAAGTTCACGACTTCGACGCAAACCACATTGTCCAAACTGAACGGTAAATTGGAGACGTTGAAGTGAGCCATTCCCCAACAATTGGCAATGTTTTTCTTGACTAAATCCACTGATGAAGAGACGTCCAGAAAATGGGTTATTTGTTTTTATCTAAAAGTTATTTAAAAGTAAAAAAAATGTTTTTAGAAAAAATAACCTCTAAAGAGAGAGAATCAATTCCACACTGAACTGTTGGTTCTCCTGAAAAAGTTTTTGGGTTTTAAAATTAAATAGGTATTTAAATTCAGCGCTCGTAAATTAGGCCCCTTTTGCCTATGTTTAGAATAATTTTGCTGACTGTTTTTGTGGACTTTTTTCTCTTGGACAGAATTACGATAAAGATACTAGCGCCTTAACCCCAAACAATATAAAATATACCCTACCAACAACTCCATTCTCTTCCATTTTCTGATTTACAACTTGTCCAGTTTGATAAGTATCCTGACATACAAGTCCATTTAAAAGTATCAGAAATAAAATTAAATAAAAATGTAGACACATCCTCGAGCCAAATTTTAAATCTAAGAAGAAAAAATTGTCGTAAATACTCTAACGAAAGCTCATATCCTATTAGGAGCCCACTCACAAATCAATGTGACCCATAGAAAAATAAAAACCCAGGGCCTCTATTAGGGCATTTACGCTAATTTAAATTTTAAAAGAAATAAAAATTTGAGGGGAAAATTACATACGAATATGTAGAATAAATAGAAACAAAAATTAAAAAACAAACAAATCTTTATATAATTGTTTGCATAAAATGATGAAAGGTGAGGAGGCATAAAATTAAAAATATTTTGGTAACGGTTCCAGAGCGTTATATATTTATTAAAACACAAAACAAGTTGTAGATAAGTTGGCCAATAATCAAAACATGGCGATTACATTATGCAGATATATTTAAATCTAAAAATTAAAAAAATATTCTTTGCTGGAATTTGCGGACAGACATTTTCGGACAAACAGAATGTTAGTTCATAACACAAAGTTATGACGTGAAACATGCTACAAAAGATTACTAGGCAATGTTACCAGACATTAAAACTGAATATGTATTTATTCCAATTTCAATAGGCTTCCTTTTATCCGCAAATATCTGTCCGCAAAAGTCAGTGAGCCATAAGGGAACAAGTTTTTCTCAAAAAGCCCGACCTTCCCCACACATAGCGTGTTACCCTTTTTATTTTTAATCTTTATTATTCCTTAAAAAGCGGTGGAAGAAGATTGCTAGTGTTTTATAAAATGGATAATAAAGGAATTATTATTATTGTGAAAAGCTTGAATATTTTACCCCACTTAATAAACAAAAAACTTGAATTATTAAATAAATTAATGGAGGAAGAAGCATTTTTGAATCTAGAAAAAAAATAAAAATTAAAAAAGATAGAATAATTAGTAAAATTGTTGAACATAAAAAATAAAAAAACCTATAATAAAATTTAAAAAAATTTATTTATCACACGAAAATAAATAAAAATTGATATGAAAAAAGTTAAAAATTTTTAATTTTTTAAATCCAAAAATTTCTCAAAAAATTTTTTCGTTAAAGAAAATCGTCTGCTGTAGCACTCTCTGTTATACTACAATTTTCATCTGTTGCTGTTGCAGTTCTTGCATCAATGGTGGTATTATTGTTAAAATTACCACCACTACATGTAAGCAACTGCACTTGGGCAGAAAAATTTTGATTCTTTTAGAGAAAAAAAATAATTTTTCTTCTCAAAAATTTTAATTTCGCTTACTTGCCAAAATTCTTGACTGTTCGGCCCTCCATTTGTTGTGGTTAAGTTGCTCGAAGATTTACGTTCAACCATTAAAGTGCACGAAGTTCCACTTGATCCACGAGGGCGTCCAACACCTCCAACACCACCCCCTCCACTGTTACTTTCATTTGTAACAGAATTATCACGACGATATCGCCACAATTTTTGATTGACGTCGCCTCCGCCAAACCAACCAGAATTTCCACCACCTCCACTACTTCCTAAGATGAAAAAAATTTTTTTTTAATTTTTATAAAAAAAGTTCAAACCATTTTCAGAATTTGTCAAAATAATTCCAATAGATGATTTTTTACTTAAACTTCTTTTTACATCACAATTTAATGCTGCTGCCTCGTGAACATTTCCAACTCCAAGCATTAATTGATGAGTTCGTTCTAGGCGGCTTTAAATAAAAAAATAATATTTAATAAATACCGTAAAGGTTTCCGGAAAATAAAATACAAGCTTTCGGAAATTCATGTTTAGGAAAATAAAAACAAATTTCCGGAAAATAAATATAATGTTCCGGAAAATAAATATAATGTTCCGGAAAATAAATCTAATGTTCCGGAAAATAAATATAATGTTCCGGAAAATAAATCTAATGTTCCGGAAAATAAATATAATGTTCCGGAAAATAAATATAATATTCCGGAAAATAAATAAATGTTCCGTAAATTATATAAATGCTTCCGGAAAATAAATATAATGTTCCGGAAAATAAATATAATGTTCCGGAAAATAAATATAATGTTCCGGAAAATAAATATAATATTCCGGAAAATAAATATAATATTCCGGAAAATAAATAAATGTTCCGTAAATTATATAAATGCTTCCGGAAAATAAATATAATGTTCCGGAAAATAATAAATGTTCCGGAAAATAAATATAATGTTCCGGAAAATAAATATAATGTTCGGAAAATAAATATAATGTTCCGGAAAATAAATATAATGTTCCGGAAAATAAATATAATATTCCGGAAAATAAATAAATGTTCCGTAAATTATATAAATGCTTCCGGAAAATAAATATAATGTTCCGGAAAATAAATATAATGTTCGGAAAATAAATATAATGTTCCGGAAAATAAATATAATGTTCCGGAAAATAAATGTTTACGGAAATTTATAGGTTTTCGGTAAGTATAAAATACAAGTTTCCCGGAATTTATAAAATTTCCAGAAAATAATTTCCGGAAAAAATGACTTAAAATATTAATTTAAAAACCCAACAAACCGTCTAACAGAACCACTAATTCTTGCATGTGCCAAAGCATTACAAAAAGGAAAATAGCGGAGTAAACAATGAACAGGTTTGAGTGACAAAAATGCTCGACAATATTCTGAAGAGGCCATACAAAAAATAAAAAAGTTGAGGCAATGGTTTAATACTTCAGCTGTATTGGCTACTTGACGAAAAACCTTTTAAAAAAGATTAAAAATTAAATTTCAAAAAATTTTTAAAAATTACTTGAAAACTAAAAGCATTGTCTAAAGACTCGTTTTGCATTGCCATTACAACCTGAAATCAAAAAAATAATTTTTAAAAATTAATTTAAAAAATTCCCACCATCTGTGGTATATTGCCAACAACCTGCAAAAAAAATAATTTTTTAGAAAAAATTTTAGAAAAAAAATTTGAAAAATTTTTTAAATTTGTAAAAACTAAAAAAAATTTTTTAGGGTTTTAGAGACGAAAATAAAAAAAATTTTTCAAAAAAAAATTTTTAAAAATTCAAAAAATAAACTAACAAAAATAACACAAATAGCCACCATTAAAGCAGTCAATTTCTTTTCAGTAAATGAACGCATTAAAGTATTTATATCTCTTCGATTGTTGCTTATACTTGGAGTTGCTGGGCGTATATGACAAGGCTGTTGCTGCTCATTATTATTATTAAAATGTTGTTGTTGAAAATAAGTATCTGGAGGTGAAGAACTTGCTGCTCGAGCATTTGGATGTTGATAACAATTTAAATTTTGTTGATGTCTCTGATGGCAATTTGAACAAATTGGGGAATTTGCAGAACTATTATTTCTTTGAATTTGGTTGTGTTGTAGAGGAGGAGGTTTGTGATCTACTACTGCGGATGCTTCAGTTCCTGTTGTTGTCATACTAACACGTTTAATTAATAAACGACGATTTCTCTAAAAATTAAAAAAATATTTATTGGAGATTGGAATTTAAACGAAATAGAAAACAAATCAGGATTCAAAATAGAACCCAAAAAATCGTAATTCTAAAAATTCGAAAAATCAAAAAATCAGAAGACTCAAATACTCTACCAACTGGTACAAAAAAATTTTATCGGATTCGCACTGAGAATTACAGGGACAATAAAAGATGTCCCCCTTGTCACGAAATCAGTACCCCCACCAACATTAAAATTAAAATCCCCATAATATTAATTAAATCTCAACTCACAAAAATATCAGAATTAAATAATAAAAAAATAAACAAACCTTTGCAACCTGTAAATGTCTAGCAATAACAGCATTTAAAATAACCAGCAATAAAACACAGAAAAATCTTAACAATTCACGTCCCATTTTGTAATAATTGTAAAGAGTAAAAAAAGGTTCGCGGCACAATAAATCTCTATTGTTGAATTTCCCTCGAGCCCAATGGAGGCAGCTTACTTTGTGGACTTCGATTTCTATAATTTTTTAAATTTTTAAAAAATTTCTAAAAAATTTAAAAAAACCTTTATTCTCATTATTATTAATTAAAGGCTCATATTCCGAACATTTTGCTTGCCACTAAAAAATTTACAAAAATTCAAAAAATTTTCTAGAAATACCTGTAAAGACATAGGTGCATGCAATAATAAAGCAGCTAACAAAGCAAAACCAATTTTAACCAAAACAGTATTTTCTATACTTAAAAGACGTCTTCCAGTTGATAAAGGTTTTCGAATTAATAAAAATCTTTAAAAAAAATTTGAATTTTTAAAAATTCAAAAAAAATTACCGTTCAATTGTTAACAAAACAGCACAATATAAACCAGCAACCAAAAAAGAATTAATTAAAACATCTTGTACCCAAACTTCATAAAAAATAACTATATCAGATTCAATTTGTAACCATTCAAGTGAAAAATGTAGAAGAATTGCTGTTAGACTTATCTAAAAAAATTAAAATTAATTTAAAAAATAAAAGCAAAAAATTTATTTTTAAAGTCCGAAAAATTTGTCCGCAACAAAAAGCAAAACCAAAGAACCAAGAATTCTTTGCTTTGGTTCATCGGTTAGGTCAGGAAATCCCAAGATTTTTCAAGAACCGACACCCCCAGTCCCCCTCACTTATTAAATTACCCATTCCCTTAAATTTATTAATCTCTCACATAACTTCCTTAAATAGTATACAAAGTCATGTGTTTATTTAATTTGAAAAAGAAGACAAATATAGACATTCTCTCAGACTAAAAAGTTTCCAATTTCAAAAGGAAATAATTTTAAAAAAAGATTTAAAAAATTTTTTACCAAATCAAAAAGTGCCAATGCGCGAATAAACATAAACGGAACATTTCGAAGCGATGGACTTCGCAGCGTCATTAAATTTAGAATATTACCAGCGACACCAAGTGCTGAAATTACAACCTGAAAATTGTGAACATCAAAAAATTTTTGACAATAGATTTTTTAAAATTATGAGACATAAGACATCTGCGGACAGAGACCTGCGGACATAAAGATTTGCGTAAATCTACCAAGAAGGCATTATTAGCCGATGGTATTTGACATGCCGTAGTAGCACTAGTCCCAATTCCAATAACCTTAGTTTTGTCCGCAAATTTTATGTCCCCAATTTGCGAAAGTTTTGTCCGCAAATATCTATTAGCAAATAATATCGTCATAATTCCATCTCAATTTCCTTCAATTTATATATCTGTCAATAATCCCCAACTCATCCCTTATAGTATATAAATAAATACACTCAATTTCCGGATGAAACTACGTTTTATGTAGCTTATAAATTTAATAATACTAAGAAACCCTTTCAAATCCCTTCCAAATCCCCTACATTCTCTCTTCCCTTTGCCTCTCCTTTTCGTAAATAAATTGCCAAATTTGGAACCAAAAAATTTAGTTTTTTTTGTTCAATAGGTTTCTCACTTTTTTATTTTAGTATTTAAGAATATTTAAAGTCCTTGAGGCGAAAAAGAAGGATTTTTACCCTCCAAAAAGAATAAAAAAAAGAATTTTAGTAAATGTGTGTTGTGGTGCACCGTCAATTTTTAGCTTTTTCCCATAATAAAAAGAATTTTAAAAAGTGAGAAAAATTTTAAAAATGTTGCTAATTTTAGCTGCTAAATAGGGACACAAAATAGGTAGATTTGAGAAATTTCGATAAATTTTTTTGGAAAAAATTCTTTGCTGAGAATTTTGGAATTTCCCCAAATTTTTTTAGTTTCAAAAAAATTTTCAAAATAAAAAAAATTTCAAACTTACAATAATTGTTCTAAACGTAGACTTCAATCTATGCAATGCTTCTATAGATGGATCTTCTTCAACAATATTTGATGAAATTGTTGTTGTTGTAATTGTAGTGTTTAAATCGTTGTTGTTATCGTTCTTTAATTGACAAAATGAATCTAGACCACCCATATTTTTTGAAGTTAATTTGAATTTAATTAAATTTTGTAGGGAGTTTTATCTGAAAAATTTTAAAAATTATTTTTAGAATCAATTTTCAAAAGAAAGGTAAAGAATAAAGCAAAATAACAAAAAAAATAACTAAAATAAAAATGGACGGATGTTTGGCCTTTCAGGAAAAGCAAAGTAAAAGGATTAAAAAAAGAAAGAAAAGTTTTTTGTTGTTTAACAAAAAAGGAAAAAAAACATTTTGTGAAATTTTCCTTACCCTAAAGCATCCGTTCCTCCTCTCCCCGTTCCTCCCTTCCTCCTTTCCCCAGCCCCCTCCTTTTCCCCCTCCTCATCTCTCACCTCCCTTCAAATCTCTTTTTTAACTTTTCTCACACCTTAACTAACATAAGAAAAAAATCTTTCCAAATAAGTAGTAAAGGATAAAGCGAATAATACCCTCAAAAATCTTCCCTCTTAAAAAAGACAAAAATGTAAAATAAGTATTTATTTGTGCCACCATATATCTGATTTTACAAGTTAAAAAACGTTTTTTAAATAAGAGAAAAAAAATAAATAAAATATTTGAGAAAAAATATTGTTGAAGAGGGTTCTCCAACTTCAATTTAATGATTTTTTGACAAAAAAAGGCTGAAGATATCTTTTAAAAAAGACGAAAAAAAAGGGAAGGCAAAGTACTCTAAGGATTCTAAAAGCCATTTTTCTCGTAAAATGGCAATAGGTAATGACAAGAAACAAAAAATATATAAAAGTTAATTAATTTAGTTTATGCGCAAATATAAGTAAAGTCTCGTCTAGAATATAACGAAGATAAAAACATTGAAAAAAGTCATAAAGAAAAAATTCCATGAGAATTATAGCCTTTTAAGGAGGGTATTAAGTAAAGGATAAGGAAGAAAAAAAATTTTTGGCACAAGTTGAGAGAAATAATAAAAAAAGAGGATATGGATCGAACATGAATAACTTTAAAAATTTAAAGAAAAAATTTCGAGAGGTAAGCCTCTCACAAATTTGAAAATTTAAAAAATGCCATTTTAATTTTTATGCTTCATAAGAAAAACTTCTGGAAAAATAAATTTATAAAAAATAAAATAAATTGAAAGGTTACATATTATTAAAAAATTTAAAAAAAGGAGAGAAGAATATTTTATATTTAAGCGATGTGCGCGAATATTATACTACTATTCTAAATTAGAATAATATTAAATGGCATTTTTTAAATGTCGTAAAAGTGCGGATGAACCAAATGAAGAAAAAAAATTTTTTTAGAAAAATTTATAAAAAAAATGGGGATTAAAAAATGAGGATTAATAGAATAAACTAGTCTAGAGTAAAGACAAATTTAAATACCTCTAGCTATATGTATTCTTTTTAGGTATATCTAATTATTTTTTAAAAAGGAAAAATTAATCTTAAGAAATAATTAATTGAAAATTGATAGTAGACTATTAAATCAAAAAATTAATTAATTAAAAATAAAATTAATTAAGAATAAAATTTTTTATTAATTTTAGACAAAAAATGTCTCAAATAAAATTAAAAAAATGTTTAAAATGCCCTCAAATATTTTTAAAAAAATGTACGTAGTAAAGGAAGTCTCTCTTAATTTCCCGTTTTTATAAGCAGATTATCTATACTAAAAATTATTCTAAATTAATTTTAAAAAGAATAAAATATTGCGTAACAAAAAGCAATAAAAGTGTCACATCCGCTCTTTAAAAAAAAGGATTTGCTAAAAATAAAATTTTAAAAACCAAAAATTCCCCAAAATTATTTTTGAAATTAAAAAAAAAATTAATTTTTAAACTCTTAATTTTTACAAAAATAAAATACTATTTAATCCGTTAAAAAATTAATTAGTTAAAAATGGAAAATTGCCCAAAATGGAAAATAAATTCAAAAATTTTTTTTGAAAAATCTCTTAAATGCTTTTAAAAATTTATAAAACCAGAATAAATGGAAAAAGCACAAAAATTAGCAAAAAAAATAGTTGAAAACACAATTTGCATCTGGAAACTCAACAAACAATTAAGCCAAAACAAAATGAGCAAAAACATTCAGTTTAAAAACAAAAATTAAAACAAACAGAAAAATACATACAATTCAAACAAAATTCAAATCGGGCCTCACGTAAATGTACATACCTCACGATTAATAGATACCAGAGATCCTGCAGCCAATAAAATATAATTCCAGATTTTCGGGAATCGGGTCGGCAGAATCGGTCTCCCATTCCTAATGTCCACTTTATTAAATTGAAGTTTGGCTATCGTGTGGGAGAGGATATCTGCATAAACGATGCCCCCACAATTTAAAATGCCCCTTTCACACAAAAACACACACGTGGTTTGCAAAAATAAAATTATTATTATTTTAGTCATATGAATATTTTAAAAATAATTTTTCCCCTTCAAAATTTAAAAAAAGGCTGCTTAAAACCAGAAATTTGAGAGAAATTTGAGAGTTGCCAAATATTAAAAAAATAAAAGGTGACCAAAAAAGAAATTCCAAAATACACATTAAAACTATCAAAATGTCAAGAATAGTCTCAAAAATATAAAAAATATTAAGCTTTAAAATATTTAGCTAAAAAAATAATTTGCTAAAAAAATTCAACAAACCATTGACGTACTTATTAAATAAAAATCACTAAAAAATTATTTTTAACGACATTTTGCTAACAAAAAATAAAACAAAGTTGGGTAAAAATTGGGTAAAAATTCCAAGTAGTTAAGCTTTAAAGAAGAAAAAAAATCTTCCACATCTTGTAACATTTATTTTTTGCCTTTTTTCGCGCTAATAAATGCTAAATTGTGCCAATTTAATATTTTAGTTGTCTATTATTTTTTGAAGAAAAAAAATTTTTGTTAAGTTGGTAAAAATAATCAGCATTAGTAGACAGAAATAATTTGGGGTTAAAGTAAAAAAAAATCTGACTGACTGAGAGGTATTGAAGCATAAACCAAGAAAAAATTTTTTTAGAAATTCAAACAAAAATTTAAAAAAATAAGGAAGTTTATAAAAATTAGTTAGCTAACCTACATATAAAACACACAATTTCTTAAATTAAAGAGAGAAATGCCTAAAATAAAAAATTTTCAGAGAGGTTCAGGTGGGAAAAAAAGATAAAAATAAAGGCAGACTGGAATTTTAATTTAAAAAGAAAATTCGTAAAAAGTTGAAAAAATGATAGAAATGTTGATAAAATAATTTAAAAAATAAAAAATGATAAAAATATAATCAAAAAAATTTAAAAAAATTTTTCAATTGCAAAAGTCCCCCAGATACATTTGCAAAAATTGTTTAAAAAATTTAAAAATTGTACAAAAAATTTTTTTTCGATTGAGGAATAGAACCAGGAAAGGACACAATTGTGTAAAATTGAGTGTTGCGTTTATCCCTGAAAACTCAAAAATACCTTCTCAAAAACCACAGAAAACAAACAAAAAATTTTTTTGATAAACACTTGCTATTCTTTAAAAAATATTTAGGTAGCAGCTTAAAAACAAAACAAACATGTAGGCGTAAAATTACGTATATTTCCTTGTTTAAATTTAAAAAGGAAAAAATATTGCGTGTTTAAAAAGGTCAACTAATCAAGTCAAAAAACAACAATAAAAATCAAAAATTAAATTACCAAAAAAGGTCAAAATATACAAAATAAACAAAAAATTTCAATTAAGAGAATTGGCAATATTATTTTTAAAATTATAAGGGGAATCTTCGTTTTTTAATTAAAAATACTACACATATCCAAACGAAAATCTCTCCCTTCCAACATTTTTTTAATTAAGCTTATTGAAATTTAAAAAAAAATTTTGGCCCTTTAAATTACTTATATTTTTTAATCTTTTCCAGAATTTCCAAATATCCATTCTTCGTAAAATCTAGAACCCCAAAAAATTCATAAAATTATTTAACAACATAGTATATCTATTAAAATTCACTCTTTATTCTCTATTTAAAAAATAATTTTCTTATTAATTAACACCATTTTTATTAACCCATTATTATTCTTTATATGAACACAAATACCCAATTATATTTACCCTCAATTATATTTACTACACAATTTATTAACTTAATAATTACTCTGAATTCATTTAAAATTCAATAAAAAAATAAATAATGCATGTTTTTAATAAAAAATAATGCACACAAACAACATTTTTCCAAATTTAGTTTTTAAAATTTTAAATTTAATTTTTTATATTTGAATGATTTTTAAAATGCCAACAACAACTTTCCAATAACTTTCCAAAATTGAAATAGTTAAAAAATTTTAAAATATTATTCCAGTCATTTTTTATTTTTTAAATTATTAAAGTTTCCCCAAAAATTTAACATTCTATAATTAGTGATCAGGACCGGATCCGGTCAGATTTCTTTTTAAATTTCCACGTGAAACTTTCAACTATCATTTCAACCGAACATTTTTCTATTTTTTTTAATATCATCTTTATACTGGCCACCTGAAACTCCTCTCTTTTTTTAACCACTTCTCACTTTTAAATGACTTTTACACGGTTTAAAATTTCTTTATAGGCTTTTTTGATTACCCCATTCAAAAAAAGGTATCTGGCCATATAAAAATAAGTAAATAAAATGTGTTATGAAAGCTTTACGTCATATCCAACGCTTTCTAATAATACCTCACAAATATGAGAAAACTTGGAAAGCAACAAAAATTGGAGTAAAAAAATCAGATTAAGCTTAAAAAATTTAAAAAAAATAAAAAATATTCTTAAAAATATTCTTTTCTAAAAATATTATTACTTCAGTTTTTTCAAAAAAAGAAATTAGAAAGTGACGGCATTTTACAAATTAAGTTTTAAAAACCACAGTGTAAAAATAAAGTAAAAATTAAATTAACAATTTTTTAAAATTTAATTAATAATAAAATTATATCGGTAAAAGCATGAATAAATAAAAATGCTTATTTCTAATTTTCTTACATTTGCCATTTCAAAAAATAACCTTAATTTATTTTTTTTAAATCTTAAATTAGATCCAGTCTCTACATTAATTATTTGCCGCTTATACATA